TTTATTAATTATAATTCTAGAAAAATGAAATGGCTTTTAGATTGCAGCCACTTCTTTTGGAACGTGAGGACACCGCTCCAGCTCTTCCCTCTTTCTCTCTAAACCCGCCGGAAGTTGAAGAATTGTTGATTTCATCGATGTCCAGAAGTAGGTGGAGGTCCGGTAGGAGTTTGATGACATTGTATGGTGACGATTTGTCTTGCCGGAGAACAAACGAGGAGGAGCTATGGCGTCAGGGAGGCAGGTGGACGGTGTAGGTTACACTGCTTGGGTTGTTGCCACTTGCCAGGATTAGGTAAGAAAGAGGGAGACCACGACGACCAATGGAGCACCATCGTTTCATTCTACCTGCGCACCACTATCCTCAACGCCTCATTCTCCCCTTCTGTCTGCACATCTGTTGAAGAACAAAAATCTGGAAGACTGGAACCATCATCGGAAATCCAAGCCCCAATCTCGCCGACGATGAAGCACCTCAGCCCTTACAGATCATTCATCTCAGTAGGTGATTCAATTTATGAGTTTCAACAGATCGGTATCATCAATGCCTCATTATTCCTCCTCTCTCTGCACATCTGACGGCCACCACCTTATCTTTATCCCTCTCTCTTCAATGATGGTGCTTTTGTGGTTCTGCATTCTAGGGTTTTAACTCTACAACCATAGTGAGACTTTTTGGGGTTTTTTTTTTGGGATTTTTGGCTTTTATGGATTTTCAGATTTTCGGTTATGAGGGATGAGAGTAAGAGTATCGGTGGACACGAGCGGTGGTAGTTGGTCGGAGATGGTGGCCAGTGGCTGGCCGGAAAGTATAGGTCAGAGATGGCTAAACAGTGGTGGTCGGAGATGCTGTAGTTTCTACTTGATAGAAATTGATCAGAAATGATGATTGGAGAGAGAGAGAGAGAGAGAGAGAGAGAGAGAGAGAGAGAGAGAGTATATAAGGTGGGGTCTATTATTTTAAATAAATAAATAAATATGTAATTAATTAAATATAACTAACAAATAAAAATAAAAGAAAAAGAAAAAGAAAAGGGCGAAATCGTCTTTTTATGTCTGGCTGACGACATTAGGGATGAAGCATGCAAAATTTAAACAAAAGAGGGACTATCCGAGTTAATTTTTGAAAATAGAGACCAAGCGTGCTTTTTGGCACTTGCACGAGGAACGAATCGTGTAATTTACTCTTGTTATTACAAACTTCATAGAAAAGAGTATATGATAATCTGCATTTTTAATACCTGTTAAGCTAATATAATCTATTCCTAGATAATGATTCCGGTTTTAATTCATTATGTACCGATATATTAGTATTAATTTCCTTGAAAAACCCATTATTCCAGAACAAACAGATTTGACGTACATGAATTTTCATATTGATTTTTTCTTAATTTTTTAGAAAAAAGGTTTTTATTCATAGGCATCACCATAAATTTTGTAACTTTTAATATTGTCACTTTAGCTCCATTAAGTTAATACCAAAAGTCTAAAATATTAGCTTTCTTTTATTTTGTATTTATTATTAATCAATATAACCCAAACCTTTTGAGGGAGCATCTACCAACCTATTCTTATTTCCAATAAAACAACAATATTAATTTATTTTTAGCAAATAACAACAAAGTATTTATTTTTCAAAAGAAAAAATAAAAATATCTTTATTTTTCACAAGAAAAGCAAAGTATTTATATATTTAAAAAATAACATAGTAAGAAATTTACTATATTCTTTAACGAAAAATAAGCCAAAAAATGAACTAATCAACACAATGAAATTATTTGTCCAAAGTAAGCAATATGTTGAAAGAAATTAAACATAGTTCAATATTAGTATATATAATATAACATATTTTACATTTTCAATTCGAATTAAACAAATAAAATAAAAATTTATCATCTTAACATTATTCGTTAAATAAAACTAATCGTCGCCCGCTGCCAGACAAAGAGTAACAAAGGCAAATTATTATTCGCCGCCCATTTAGAGACAACTGATCGTCGAAAGGAACAAATCGTCAGAATGAAACAATCGAAAGGAAAACAACTTGATAACTGTCGAAATGACACTAACTTTTGTTTGGAAATTAATCGCCAGAATGAAACAAATCGTCGCCGCCGCATCGCGCGGGTATGCTACTAGTATATATATATATATATATATATTATATATATATATATATATATATATATGAAAGAGAGAGAGTTAGGTTCATATATAAACTTTAATTATTGTGTGAGTGTATGACTAAATGTGGTCTATATATATATATATATATATATATATATATATGAAAGAGAGAGTTAGGTTTATATATAAACTTTAATTATTGTGTGAATGTATGACTAAATGTGGTTCAATCATTTGGGAGGGGTATTATAATAAAATTCATTGATTGATTAATTAAATAACCAAATTTAAAAACCTATAATCTAGGAAAATTAAATAATTATCATCCATTTAGAATCTCATTATTTGAGCAATTCAAATCACCAACACGTCTTTAACTCTTATCATCGTCATCTACAAACCTCACCGTCTTCATCAATAACAGAATCTCCACCATCTTGTTGACATCACGAAGACCCCATCTCACCATCATAACTCTTCGATAAACCATTGTGTTGTTTATCTTTGAAAATAAGTTGTTGATCGTGAGAAGGAGAGCCGAACCTTGTTCTTTATTTTTACCCACCTGTTGATCTAGATAAAAGAGGAGCGAACGTCAAGCAGATGGCACAATCAAAGAATTTATGGTTCACCATCACTAGTCATGAGGTTTGGAATTAGTGGCATTATTTGTTGATTATTCTTTTTCTCCACGACTCCATCTTCTGAAATAACATCATCCCCACCGCCAAATCACCAATCATAGAAGGTACAATAACATTAATATTTTTCTGAATTTCAGGATTTACCTTCAAAAAACAACAAAATTCTTTGAGAATTCATGTTACTTTGAAGAATGGAAGTTTGAATCAAAGCCAATTCTAAAAGAATATATGTAAACAAGTCAAATCTGAAAATATTTAGCAATTTTTTTTTTATTGAAAGACAATTCCAATTCATGTTACCAGTGAGGTCTATTGTGAGAATGATATTCTTTCAGAATTGTAATAATATGATATTTAAAGCTATTTTTTTTAGATTTCGTGTTACTTGGAAGAATACAAGAGTAATTGAATGCACATTCTTTAATAACTATATTAAATATGGTATTTATATTATTAGTTCAACATCTTTTATGAAACAATTATCACCTGTATGAACAAAAATTCTTTTAGAATACATGATAATGGAAATAAAACTTGAAACTTTGGCTTTTCTTTTCCCTTAATTCTTTTAGAATACTTGACATACTTTCAGATTACATGATACCGGGAATAAAAAAAATTAACGAAACCAAAATTCTTTAAGAATTATTGCTGCTTTGAAGAATAAAAGAAATTGCCAGTTATATAATTGTAATTCTTGTTTAATTATTTCATTCTTATAGAAGATTATTCTTTTAAAAATGTATGATTATTTTTCAAGAAAACATATGAATCTCATCGCCATACTATATTTTGATATGTGTTAGGTTTTATTTGATTTGTTTGTTATTAATTAATTTGACTTAATTGTCTAAAATGTAGTTAATTTACATTCTCTCTCTTAATACAATGTCATATTTACACTTATAATTAATTAAGTATATTTATATAGTAAATGCAATTCCATGCTAATACCATGTACCTTAAGATCAAAAATCATTCATTCTTTTAATCTAATGGTCATAATTTGGTCACACATTCATACACTATTTGTGATTCACATTTGATCCTAACTATATTAAGTGATTAAAAAGTAAATAGTATCTAATAATAAAAATATATTAAAATGTATATTGTGTCCAAAACTTACACGTTACTTTTCATTACGACTGCTTGTTTGCATTTCAATTCTCAAAACACTTAAAATGTCATAAACAACACTCTAAATAATTTTCCATTCTTGGAAAAAATGAATGAAGAATAAACAAAATGATATGAAGAGAAGCAAAATGACAAAAGTGGTAGTAAAAATTCCCATGCGGTCGCTAAACACCGAAAAAAAAAACCTTAAAGGGTATATCTGGGATAATAATAATAATAAAACTCGTTAATTCACCTGCAAATTATATCGTGTACCACTCTCAAGTTTTATCATAGTGTATAAAGTTCATACATCACATTTAATTCACCTGCAAAATCCAGCTACTAATTAACGTTTTCGGTTCATCATAAAACCCTAATAAACCTAACTTTATGAATCTCTCTCTCTCTCTCTCTCTCTCTCTCTATATATATATATATATATATATATATATATATATATATATATATATATATATATATATATATATATATATATACACGTCTACACAAGTTTAACTAAAGGAAGCGTTTGATTTGCTTGCAATTCCATCATGGATGACCATGAGTTGGTTTCTCTATGGAGGTTTCATTACCTGAGACTGAAAAATGCAGAAGGCCACCATCACCAACACCGGCGGTGGAGGAGGTGGCGGCTATGGCGGAGATTGATGGTTAAGAAGGGGGTTGGGGTTCAGGTTTCAGGTTTAAGAAAAGTGTTTAGAAGGAGAAAGATTGGGAGGAAAGCTAGGGGTTTGGGTACTCTTAAAGTTTCATGGGAGAAAGCTTTGAAGAAGTTGAAAAGTAATCACCAGGTTTACTTGAATCATTTATTTGGTGGTAATTATCTATTCATGCATTTCATAAATCCATGAAATTTTTTTCAATCAAATTTCGTGAATGCTTTATTCTAGTTATTAAAACCAATTTCTATTGTCGTGATAATAGAACCAGTATCAACTGTTACCGTATACAATTATCAACTATTATCAAATGTATTACTTTGGACTTTCTAAAATCTCCTTTTTCTTCTAATTAGAGTTGCACAACAAAACCATTCATCCGATTTGTATCCAGATCCGATCCATAATCAGATAAAACAGAAACTGGGTTCAAGAAACCGGGTCGGTTTGGTTTGATCCGACTAGATTTAACCGGATCATCTTCTAAACATTGGAAACCAGATTAGGAGTGGATAATTGAAAGCGGTTACAAACTGAACTAGGAAAAATCCGATTAGACCGGTTACAAATGGGTTTATTCTGGTTCACACATTTTTGTCCCAAAACCAGTTACAAAGAATAAGATTATGTACAAACTTAATAACATATAGCACTCAAAACAAGCTCATATTCCACTTAGTAAAGCTTAATCCTTGTGTCTATTTGATCCCGACATATAGGGCACAACAGAAGATCTTTCCCACATTCACAACACGTCTGAAAAACACAAGAAAATAAAACCATATTATATTCCTTTGAGATGTTTATTAAATCATTAAAAAAAAAAAAAAAAGCATATACATATTATAAGAAAAAGAGTCATAGTTGTACCTGGTGTCCGCAGCCAAAAGCCATATCTTTCGGGTTGCTTATGCAGATCGGGCAAAGCTGCCGAAATCAAAATGCTCATTCAGATTCAGTCAAAATAATAATAATAATAATAATAATTTTCGGTTACACAATATTTGCTTCAAGACTAACATCACCTATGTATTTGAGTGTTTCATTTCAAGTTAATGCTACAAAAAACGACTTACTTGGTTATCAGAAGAGGAACCTCCGGCGTAACTTTTGTTGACCGGTGTTGACTTTCCTTGAAACGAGTGTGACGAGGATTGGAAGGTAGTGGGTGTGGGTCCCGATGGCTTTGATGATGCACGAGAAGACACCGAACCATAACAAGGTGGAGGAAGAGCTATCCGATCTATGGCTTTTCCTCTACGACCACTGATTCATATATTCAAGGCAAATGTTGGTTTTGTTTAAAGGGCTAAATGTAAGAAATAACAATGTATTTTCATTTATTTGTGTATTACATCATCCTACTTCCTTTTCATTCTATTACAACATTATATACTTTCAACATATCATTTATAATATAAACAAATCAATGAAAGTACGTTGCTATTTCTTGCAATTAAATAATTTTTGTTTCAAAATAAGCAGAAGGTTACCCTAAAATGTTGAGCTCTAATGTTGCCTTGTACTGTGCTGGTATTTCCATCAAGGCTGCAAGAGCAAACTCTGCTTCCTTCCTAGACCGATCGATATTCTTTGACATTATTTCTGTAAAATTCACAAACTAAAATGGACAAAAAAGGTTAAAATCAATACAGACTTTAGAAAAAAAAAAACCAAGTAATTAACAATGTAATGACATTTGCTAAAAACTTGCCTGAAAATTGTCAAAAGATCGGGCAGGGATATTATCGTCAAATTCCCTCATCATGTCCCATGGTCCATCTCCAACTCCAACTAGAATTATTGACAACGGGTACTCACTAAAAGTCACGAAAGAAACATTTCAGAAATAGTAACATATGTGTAAAATTACGAAACTAGACATCAGTAATAGTATTAGTACCTAGCTTTCACAATTGCTTCGACAGTTTTCCTCTCCTGTTGACTTAGTTGACCGCGTTCCGTGTCAACGCTTCTCGTGACCTGTGACATCAGTTAGGTAAATTATTTTCTTTAGTGATTGAAATATTTTATCTTTTTTTTTCACAGTTTAAAGAAACCATATTTCCCAATTACCCAATTTTATTTTAATATCATGGCTAATAATAAATTTACCTGCCCATCGGCTATTATTAATAAGACATGATATTGACCACCACTTTGCTCAACAATAGTGATAGCCATTTCAATAATAGGTGCAAATGAGGTAGGTCCTGTTTAGAGGGATAAAAACAAGATAATGAACCTTTATAAATCTAATAATAAAAAAAAAAATAATTACAACTTATAGAAAACATAATCACCACCTGCAAGTCGTAGTTGAGGTACTAATTCTCTGTATCTTCTTAAAACCTCCTCAAATCCATCACAAAATTTATCATCCGGAAGGAAACTAAAGACTTCTTGATCATGCGTTGAAGCTGAAAAATTATATACATTACAATCATATAGCTGATAGTGACAGTGATACAGTGACAGTGACAGTGACAGTGTGACAGTGCATACCATCTCCAAATCCAAAACAAGGAATTAAATTATCCTCATCGAAGGAAGCTAGTGTCCTTCCAATTATCGAAATTGCTTCTTCATAAGGGTTCATTTCGTTTCCAATGTGATGCAAGCATCTTCTATGAAACGACCTTGCACCTAAAATTGAAAAAGTTTGAAATGTCAAAAGCTTTATTAAAAACTGAGAAACCCTAATGTTTTAATCGAACCTGTCCATTCATTGCTTTTGGTGAAATCTACACCGACAATCAAATTTGATGATTCCAAACCCGCACGCGCCAGGGCATCTGTAACCTGCTCTAAGTTGTTGTAGTTATCATCGATTCTTGAATATTTTCTCTCGAGTCTCTTCTTAACTGCGGGAGCCTGATTAGGATAGCTTTGATATGGAGAAGGTGAAGCATACGGTTGGCTCACTGGAGGTTGAGGATACGATGGTTGCGGATAGGCCCATGAATTTGAGGTCGAGCCATATGATGCATAACGACCTGAAACAGATCTCTTTGAACTTTTGCCACCCATGAACTCAATCCAGTCTTCACGGGTTTTGATTTCTGAAGAATCAATACATACATGCACGAAACAATAAATTAATGTGGGTAAAATATAGTTTACTCTATCAAATCTTGATATCCACTATCAATTCGAGAACGTAGAGTGTAAAGAATGCTACATTTTGACTATTGATGTTAAACTAGCAACCCAATTCAATGTCAAATTTCATTTTTAAAGAAAAATCAATTCATTTGATTGAAAATTAACATTAAGATCTACAAGAACTAAAAATGGTGTTTAATTAATAAGAAAATCATAGCAATTTTGATTTTGAAGACCTGACATTAAAAGGTCATACTGGTCGCTATTTCCTGATTGCTGAGAAAGAAAGCATACTTCGAAATTGACATGATTTGCATCGATAAAATTTAACTTTCGAACAAACCCAAATCAGAAAAGTCGAACATAAGAAGATTTACCTAAGAAATTGTGGATAGCCTCTTCAAGAATCGGTCAGGGACTGAATGAAGAAAAGATTCGAGCGAGAGTGAAAGTGAAAGTGAAAGTGAAAGGGAGATAACAAGGGTTTGTTTGTAGCTGGAAAAGGATTGACAAAATAAACAAAATACGAATGGATTGAGTGGGAATCAGCTAACTGGTGGTTAATTCGGGGAAGGTTCCTTCTGTTTTTGTAGGTGAGCTATATATGTATATCCTTTTTGGTTCGACGGTGCTTATCGATTATCACGACTATTATCACTGTGTCAACCCGTGACTCACGGGTCTCGACGTTGATCGGCCGTCTATTCGGATGAGTGCATTCTTTTCTGTTTGTTAGCGGGCGTTTGGATGGTTGTATAATTATTACTTAACAAGAATCAATTTTAAATAATGATTCAATTAGATTAGTTAAATGGACAATTTTAAATGATGATTCAATTAGATTAGTTAAGTCGACAACATATTTTCTAATATTTTATGATGAATTGTAAAATTATTTTTGTTTTGAAAAATTAGGATGATAAATCTTATTATAAATCTTGAGGTTATAACATTACTATATACATGATTAGTTGTATTTTATTGAGAAGCTCCACAACCCGTGCTACAAAACTAAAAGTATCAAACATGAATGATGTCATAAAGCGTTGATTATCGATGCATGTTTTTCATTTGTTTTGAAACTTTACATAATACAACTTTTAAATTAACATGTCTTATAATAAACCATTCGCTTCTCAAGCTCACAAGACCCTTGTTAGATCAACATAAACATATACATGTTTCCCTCATATAGATCCATCCAAAACTCGTATACATTGTGGTCTAAGTGTTATCTTCTTTCGAAAATATTAGTCAAAAAATTTGCATGTGTTTTTTTATTAGCATAAACATTAGTGCATCTAAATATGTTAAAAAGAAACGTCCTTAGCCATATCGTATTGATACTTAAAACACGTGAGCTCTCTACATTGTACAACATGCTTCCAGAAATAGTCCAATTATGCATTGCAACAAATTTGGAATATCTCATCTACCATAAATAATGGCATCATGAGACTATACTTAAAAATAATATGAACTCTATTGTTGACATATGTTGGTGTAGACTATCTATAAGTATAAGAAAGAGAACATTATGTACATATGTTGCTTTTAGATACTTAAAAATTATTTTTCTAACTCAACGCCTATAATCTTTGCTCCCCTTTAGGGAGGTCACAAGTTTGAAACTAGGTCACACCTTTTTTTTTATTTTCTTTTTAAACGGTCAGCCAAGAAGCCTTTACGGTCGCCAAAGTGGTTGCCATATGGCATGGTAACCGAGAATGGAAGCCTAAAAACCTTCTTAAGTTTTGAGTTTTTACACCAAAAGAACAAAAAACGATTTTGGATAAACATGTTTAAAAGTAGCAAACATAGGCTTTTGTAGCATTGTTATAATGGGCAACATATATGAAAGAAGGTTGTTATTATATTTATTTAGAAGTAAATAGAAAATTAATGAGACGTAATTTAAAGAATAATATTGCAATGGTATAAAACTATAAATTGCCGAAAAGTCTACAATTAGAAAAACACAAAACTTTGCTGTAAACCAAGGTAACCCGTTTTATGGTGTAAGGTTTCAAATTACTTTTATTATCACCTAAAGCTAATATTAAGAATGCTATTATTATTTATTAAAAAAATACTTTATATAAAGGAGTTTTTCCTTGGGGAAATTTTAGGATACATGCTTCTTTACCTATTTATTTTTTGTGATCACGTTTTCTTCATTTTTCACATCTTTCTAAATCAAAATTCAAAACATGCAATAAGTACAATACAAAACATAGGCCAATATATGCTTTACAAATATGATTTCAGAACAACAATAAAAACTGAAACATGATTTAGTACGATATAATTTAAGAAATATCTTAGCAAATACAACATTAATAAAAAATGTATTTTTACACTATCATCTCTTTTTTTTTTTTTGGAAAGGGAACGTCTCTAACGAGGGCTTCAGACCAACTTTAACACATCATCCCTTGTTACCGCCGCTAATTGTCATATTTATTTTTGGCCCGAAAGGTATAACTCAATTAGTTTTGGAATAACATATTTAATTGAGATTTAAGATAAAACAATAGATCTTACTTTGAGACTTGACAATGATAGTTGATTGGGTATAATGTATCCTATTTACCTATTCTGTGTTGCGGGGTTGCAATTAAAGGATAATAATTAATTGTATTTAATACAAACCTACTTATAAAGAACTTATTAAATTACATAGCGGTAAAGATATGAGAAAACACAAATAAGACATTGAGTTCAATATGTAGATCACTTTCCTTGTCATGTGGATATTATGATTTATTTCCTCAATACAGATCGTGGAAATAGCTACGTAGGGAATTGTAGGTTTGGTATATATGGTAGGATCATGGAAGTTGTAAATTTAAAAACAATCAATTGAAAAAAATATGTAATTCACTATTCCACAATCTTAACTAATGAAATAATAGGTTAAATGTGTCTAACTTAGCATGGTTAGTTCACGTTAGTTTAAGTATTTTCATTATACAATACTTAAATCAACCAGTCATTTGTATAATGGACAAAAATCTCTTACGATTTTAGAAGATGGCAATTTTCGTGGGAGGGAGAGGGTTTTAGGGCAAGGGCATCGTTGGTGGAAGGGTTGTTGATGAAATGATGCGGGTCGTTGTTGGTCGAAAAGGCACTTGGTTTTAGGGTTGTGTGGAGAAGATAATGATTATGAAGGTGATTTTTTGGGGGATTTCTCCATGGAATATTAATGAATAATGAAAAATATTTGTATAGATGCTCCTAGAAGTTAGAAAAATTCTCCATGAAGTTGAACATTCAAGAGGGAGTTTGAGAGAAATTTTTTGTGGGATGGTCATCGGAGGCAATGGTAAGTTAGGGGTGAGGTGAGTGTTGGGTATAAATATATAGTGAAAACACTACCACATGTAATAAGAAGTAGTAAAGGGGAAGTAAATGTCGAACTCACAATGAAACAAATTAAAAGTCCAATGTGTTTCTATGTATGACATACACGATTTGTATGGGATAAAAGTAACCAGCAAGGGGGAGGGGTTATGTTTAATAAAACTGGATTTACTAAAACATATTTAGAGAAAAAAGAACTAAGAATTGGTATTCACCGGTAAAAAGGAGTGGGTTTCAAGTTATGTCCATCTTTCATGCGAGCTAAATTTATATTAGTGTCGAATTCAATTAATGTTCTAGGTTGGTAATAAAAGACATTAATAAGCTCTAAACACACTTTATTGGCTAGAATGTCTAATTAAACATATTCTTATTAAATGCACTCGAGACATTAGCAAGGGCGATTGCCATATTATAGTTTAAAATGAAGTACAAATTAACTATAAACTCAACCAAGTTCCAAACTTGATTGTTATACATAGACTGTATATCGCTGTCCATAGCCTCTTTCCATTTAGCAGCCTCAGGGCCTGCCATGGCTTCCGTATAGCTGTTAGGTTCATCCAGATTTACCAGTGTACTATCACTGATAAGTGTATCACCTTCCGCAGTAATATGGAAACCATAGTAATGCTCAGGTGCATTCCTAACTCTCGTGGAACGCCTCAGAGGTACAGACTCGTCAGTCGGATCAACATGAGTTTCCTCCTCAGGTTGATTGCTAGGGTTTGAGGTTCCTTCACCACTTGAATCTTGAATTTCTTCAAGGTCAATTTGCCTCCCACTGTTTCCTTGGCTCATGAACTCTCTCTCATGAAAGACCCCTCTCCTTGCCACAAAGACCACATTCGCACTGGGTCTATAGAAGAGGTAACCAAAGGATTTTTGTGGGTAGCCGATGAAAATACACCTCTCACTTCGAGGTTTGAGCTTATCGTGAGTTTCGTGCCTCACAAAAGCCTCGCAACCCCAAATCTTGATGTGGTCCAAGTTGGGAACTTTCCCAGTCCACATCTCATGAGGTGTTTTGGCAACCTTCTTTGTGGGGACTAGATTAAGGATATGGGCGGCAGTCTCTAAGGCATACCCCCAAAAAGAGATTGGTAGCGAAGCTCGACTCATCATGGAACGAATCATGTCCAACAAGGTCCGATTACGCCTCTCAGCCACACCATTCAGCTATGGTGTCCTGGGAGGTGTCAATTGTGAGACAATCCCACACTCCTTAAGATAGTTGAGGAAATCTGTACTAAGATACTCACCACCTCGATCGGATAGAAGCATATTAATGTTCCTGTCCAATTGATTTCCTACTTCCTGTTTAAACTATTTAAATCTTTCAAAAGTATCTGACTTATGCTTGATTAAGTAGACATAACCATATCTACTATAATCATCAGTAAAAGTAAGATAATAGCGATTAGCATCCCTTGTGGCGGTTTTGAAGGGTCCACATACATCAGTATGTATAATGTCCAACAAACCCTCACCCCTTTCACAAGTACCAGTGAAGGGTGATTTTGTCATTTTCCCAAGCAAACAAGATCCACAACTATCATCTGACTTTAGGTCAAATGACTGCAGGACTCCATCCTTTTGGAGTTGGCATATGCGTTTCTTGCTTACATGTCCAAGACGACAATGCCACAATGATTCTTTATCCAAGCTAGTGGAGGAATCAATACACAACACATTATTTCCTAGGTTATCTACAACCGACACAGTTTCATACACACCATCACAAGGTAATGCTTTAAAATAAAGAACATTATTAAAGAAAGCATTAATACCACCACATTCATTATCAAACGAAAAGGTAAACCCTTGTTTGTACAAACCATGAAAAGAAATAATATTCCTCGCCATTTCAGACGAGTAAACACATTTATTCAAATATAACTTTAACCCACTACTTAGCAACAAAGTATAAACTCCAATCTTGGTAACAGGAAAAGCCTTCCTATTCCCCATGATTAAGTTTATCTTCCCGTGCTCCACATCCTCACTTCTTCTTAGGCCCTGCAAATCACAACATATGTGAATACCACAATCTGTATCAAGGACTCAAGAGTTAGAATATGGTGAGTTATTAGACAATATAGTGTAAATACCTGCATGGGATGGTTTCACTTTCTCATCCTTGACATCCTGCAAGTACTTTGGGCAGTTTCGCTTCCAATGCCCCTTATTCTGGCAATAGAACCAATCAGCATCCTTAGGGATGGCAAAAGAAGTAGCAGAACCACCTTTGGTTCCACTTGATGAGGATTCATCAAGAGACTTTCCCTTGGTACCCTTCGAACGGGTCTTCCTCTTCTTCCCTTTGCCTTGCCCGATAGCCAAAACAGGGGTAGCTGTAGGAGTAGGAGTAGTAACAACCGACTTACCTTTAAGACCACTTTCGGTGGTCTTCAGAAGTCCTTGAAGCTTGCTGAGTGTAACTTCCTCCTTGTTCATGCGGTATGTCATGCAGAATTGATCATAAGACGAGGGTAGGGAGTGCAAAATGATGTCAATTGCCAACTCCTCAGGGAAGCTCACATTCAATTTCTGCAAACGGTCCACATACCTCTGTATTTTCTGCGTGTGGCCCGTGATGGGTTCATCATCCTTCATTCGGGTTGTTATCATGGAGGAGATTATGTCATACCGCTCTTGACGAGCACTCTGATGGTACCTTTCCATCAAGTCCTGGTGCATCTCAAAAGGGTAATAGTCCTCATAGGACTTTTGGAGCTCGGCTGTCATCGTGGCCATCATGATGAATGCCACTTTGGTGGCATCTCTCTCATGTGTCCTGTATTCATCGATCTCCTCAGGAGTAGCAGTAGACTCATCTAGTTCCTTAAGCTCCTTGTCGAGGACATATTCCTTGTCCTCGTAACGAGTGACCATCCTGATGTTCCGGATCCAATCCATAAAGTTGGAACCATCGAAGATGACTCTCCCACAAAGGTTCATGAGAGAGAAGGAGCCGGTAGGGTTAGAACCCGAAGCATTGTTGGAAGACATCTGAAAAGAAGAAAGACAAGTTTAGATTAGATATATAGAGTCCTTAATAAGACACCCAAATGTAATATTAAGGCTAGGACCCAACACAATATATTATAACTTAGAAGAGGGATGTCATAATCTAAGCTATAACATATTTGAAGGTAGGTGAATGACGATTCACCAATTTCCACCATGAAAACGAAATGAATTATTAGGTTTAATTGGTTTTGAAATTCCTAGATTCTTTTGAGATTCATTGAACTTTTCAATGGCATGTTTCAATCTCGATTGTGCCCTTCAAGTTTTGTGACTGGGATGCCGAGGATCACAAAACAAGGTGTGAATAACCATGAAAA